CGCTGGCAGGTCCTGGTCGTGCTGCTGCAGCCCGACCGTGTCCTGCCTGCTCTGGCCGCTGGTGGCCATCGAAACCTCCAGCCTACCCGCCCACCTCCCCTGCTCAGCCACAAGGGCCTTAAATCCTCTAAACAGTTCAGCATGGGAGTCGTCCACTCCATGCATCTTTGCACCTAGCTTGGCATACTGATCAGCACTAGCATTGGCCTTTTTCTCCCAGACAGAAGTTCGACCAGCTTCAACGTCCTTGCTGGTGGCGTGGGCCAGGGTCTTATGGGCCTGGATGTCGCACCCCTCGAAGGCAGCCCACAACGGGCTCCACATATGGCCCCTCGGGGACCTGGCTTCCGCCCCAGACCCTGGACCTCCGAGCAAAACATCTAGAGTGGCCTTGTAATCCAGATAGAGATCGAACGGAGCGATGCCAACTTGTGTGAGCATGTGAATCTCGAAATCCTCGCCATCTTTGGCCGTTTGGCGAGGGCCGAAGCTGAGCGGCACTGGGCCGTAAGCAGCATGCAGCACGTTTCCCAAGAGATCCACTTGCACAAGAGCCCAGCCTGCTCTGCAGACTCCTGGAAGAGAGGGCCACAAGGCCGAGCCGTCACTGAACATGCAGCCCGTGAGGAACCCACTGGCAGGCTTGTTCACCCACCTGATCGTGGCTTCAGGATCCTCTCGAGGGACAAAGGCCAGAGGGCAGGGCATCACGCACCTCGCGAACCGCTCACCCACGTCCTCCCCGCAATCCAAGGCACGACGGGCGCGAGCAGCAAGCCGAGGGGCGACCGCATCCCTTCTGACGCTGATGTGCGCAATGCAACCGTACTGCCTATGCCACAGCTCCCCCCTGGCCTCTTTACAAAGTTGGCAGACATCGGAGCTGTGCGGCCCGTGGCCACACTCGGGCCTGCGGCCAGTGCACATTGCACACATGCGAGCGAAGCGCACGCTGGTGGTGGACCGTCCAGAGTTTGGTTTTACTCCTGAGGAGCGGTCCCAGGCCAGCCCCCAAAAATCGGAAACACACTATCGAGCCCTCGAGAGCCTTCGCTCCCGAGGCGCCCCACGCTCTCCAAAGCGAGCCTGTCTGAGGCTCTGGAAGCTCCTTCGTGCACTAGTTCCCTGATCTCACATGACGAAAGCTGGCAACGGTTCCAAACTGAACCTAAATCGTCACGGAGCCTCGTGCTCGTTAAAAACCTCCAGCCGATCCTGTCCAGGGAAAGGAAAGCCACATCAGCGGGCGACGAGGCCGCCCTCCAAGGGTGACGGTAGCGCGCCAGTTTTTCGATAGCCGCGCCCATCGTCGCCCCCAGGATCAGCCTCGAAGGAAAACTGTCCCAGATCGCAGTGGCCCATTGAAACACCACGTGCCCCGTGTAGGCTACTAAAGGATCACACAAAACACCCATTCTGAAAGAATGAAGCCTGAGGCCCAGACTAGAGCCCTTGGGAAGGCGTCCGATGCTACGAACCGCCGAAACACGGAGACCAAGCATTACAGACGGGGGGATCCCCATCACACTGCTACCCCATAGGGCCACGGCAGTGGCCCCGACTCTTTGGAGGAGGCCGACCTCCGCCCCAGCGTCACGTAAAATCTGGAGCACGAGCCCTAGACTTAGCATCGGCAAATCTACTCCTGGCGATCCCCACTCTGCGACATGTACCTGACACAGCGTCCGTGCCCAGATTCCGAGCCGTGTCCACACGCGACGAGGATGGGATACGCCATTGCCCCTGGATGAGCTTTTGCACTTCGGCACTACATAGTCTTTTTCACGGCGACGGGAAGATTGAGGCGATCGAAGTCCCTGAGCAGCGACTCCACCCCCGAGTTGAGAACCGACGCAACCTGTATGCTTTTGCCGCACGCCCGCAACGCTATGTCATCCACCACATTCCTGACATAGAGCTGTGGTATCCCTTCTTTGGCCTTCAGCAGAGGCCCCAGCAAGAGCAACTTAGCCAAGCTCGTCGCTCCACTGCAGCCAGCTATGACCGAGCCGTTCGCGCGCACGATGCTGCAGACCGCGCTGCCGTACAGCAACGTGCGGGGGCATGTGTGTACGTGCACAGGCAGCGCACCAGGCGAACGAGAAATTCAAATCTTATCGCCGCCTGGTGCATATCCTCGTGACCTATGTGTTCGTAGAACTTTGACAGATCTACTAAAGCAGTTCCTGATTCGAACCCTACACTTCTACAGTAACTGCCCAGGAGGTTATGTGTCCACCCCGCCCGTTCACACGTGGTAGTGCTGCTCACTCCCCAGAACACATCTTCCATATGTGCCTGCTCCCACTTTTTGACCAGCGGCTGACGGACCCTGGACCATATCTTCGCGAAGAACGCCAAAAGCCCGATCGGGCGAACACCCCCATCACTCTTATCGATGAACACGATATTGGTCATGAATAGCAGGAGGTCTTGCGGGGCTCTCTCAAACTGATGCAACACGTCGACTAACCGAGCTGCATATTCATCACGACGGTCTAGTACCCAGCGTGGGTGGAACCCATCCCATCCGAAACCACACTTTCTGGCATACCTTCTACAAACCCTTCGAAGCTGGTCTCCCGAGATCGGCGACAACTCGGGCTCCTCGGGTGGGATCGTCCACGACGACGGGTGCTGGGCCCCACGGCCCGCTGCGATCCAGAGCGGCGTCCAGGCCCGCAGAAGAACAGCCTGCCTCAGCCTCAGCCTCAGCCTGCCTCAGCCTCAGCCTCAGCCTGCTTCAGCCTCAGCCTCAGTCTGCCTTCAGCCTCGGCCTCAGCCTCAGCCTGCCTCATCCTCAGCCTGCCTCAGCCTCAGCATCAGCCTGCCTCAGCATTCAAAATGTGGCCCGGGAATGGAGTTCTGGGAACTTGAAGAACACGAAGTGGCCTACAGTTGGCTCCGGGCATTCAAAATCATGCCCAGGAATAGAGTTCTGGGAACTCGAAGACCACGAAGTGGCCTACAGTTGGCTCCGGGCATCCAAAATGTGGCCCGGGAATGGAGTTCTGGGAAATCAAAGAGCACGAAGTGGCCTACAGTTGGCTCCGGGCATCCAAAATGTGGCCCGGGAATGGAGTTCTGGGAGGGCGAAGAGCACGAAGTGTGTGACTGTTGGCTTAAAACGACTTCTGCGGCACCCTGTCCGGCACCCGCCCAGACCCCCTTGTGGAGTCATCTGCTGCTCTCTTTTGACACCACTAGAAACCTATCAGAACAAGCTGTTAGGTAACTGAGAGCCTCTTGCCCACAAACAGGGTGGCCTGCCTCATTCAGCAAAGACGTGGGGCTTGACATGGTCCGCTTCGAACATGCATGAGCTGCTTTGCCTCCTCCTTTGACAGATCCCACCGCCCATGTCTTCCACTCGTTCAAGCTCTCCTTAGCGTCCTGCTTCCTCCTCCTGCTGACCTCCTCGTCTATCTCCTCCAGCACCTCCGAGTCCCCCTGGAGCTTTCCCTCTGAGGCGTCCCTGGCGAGCTCCACGAGCACCGAGGCAGAGAGACCGCCCTCGACAGGCTGCATGCAGTCTATCATGCGCTCCAGCTTGGCACGCCAGCTGGAAAGAAACTCGCGGCCTCGACGGCCAACTGCACCTGCAGCAGATTGACGGCAGCGCTGAAGCAGGGCCTGAAACGCAACCCAATCGGTGGTGGAGCTGGAGAACCTTCGCCTCTGGTCCTTGTCCCAGGAGGAGGAGGAGGAGGAGGAGGAGGAGGAGGAGGACGAAATGGAGGTGGAGGAGGAGGAGAGGAAGAGGAAGAGGAGGAGGAGGAGGGAAGAGGAGGAGGGGAGGAGGCGGAGGAGGAGGAGACGGAGGAGGAGGAGGCGGAGGAGGAGGAGAGGAGGAGGAGGAGGAGGAGGAGGAGGAGGAGGAGGAGTAGGATGAGGATGAGGATGAGGATGGGGATGAGGAGGAGGAGGAGGAGCCAGAATCGCTCCCAAACTATTTCTGCTACGTCGAGCATGAACACCAGGGGAACTCTTATATTTGTTTATACGGGAGTGCGCGGCGCTAAGAGGCGAGAGCCACATTTAGAAAAGGAACCCCTCCCTCAAAGGAGGAGGAGGAGGAGGAGGAGGAGGAGGAGGAGGAAGAAGAAGAGGGGGGGATGAGGAGGAAGAGGAGGAGGAGCAGGAGGAGGACGAAGTGGAGGTGGAGGAGGAGGAGGAGGAGGAAGAGGAGGAAGAGAAAGAGGAGAAGGAGGAGGAGGAGGAGATGGAGGAGGAGGAGGAGGAGGAAAAGGAGGAGGAGGAGGAGGAGGAAGAAGAGGAGGAAGAGGCGGAGGATGAGGAGGAGGAACAGAGGCGGATTGAGGGGAAGGGAAGGAGGAGCGAACAACAATAGTAGGAGGAGGGACGAGAACGGAAGGCGGAACGAACACGCAATTAGGGAGGGAGGAGGGAGGATGGGGAGGGTGGAAGGACAGAGGGATCGATGGATGCATGGAGGCGGAAGGAGGGATTCGCCCCCGTTTTCCCTCTGACGCCGCGCACATGTTTTGGATTGTGGGGGGCCGTTGGCGATGCACGTGGACCCTCTTCTGCAGCGCATGACGCCCCCCACGTCGTATACGTCGCGTCCAGGCTCCTGTGCTTGGTTCAGCCCTCTCGCTCTCGCCCGCCGAGGCAGAAGGAGCTCCTCCAATCTTCCAAGGGAGGGTTCTGCAGGCCGCTCCATTCAGTTGGCAGGCGCAAGACGGCGCAAGTTTCTTCAGTCGCGGTGGTCGCTGTTCGCTGGTGCGGATCCCCTGTTCTCTCGGCCCTCCTGCTCCTCTTCCTCTCATCTTACCAGCCAGAATCATTCCCCCATCCCCATGATTAGCATCTCCTGATCTCGACGCCGATCTGAACGATTCCTCCATTTCTTTTGAGGGCGCATCCGCAAGACTGTAGCCGACATTGAGCTTGCCAATCTTGGGGATAACGATAAGTTAGAGGCTGGTTCTCGTCCTCTTCTTTTTCTCAGCTCCGTCCATGCTTCCTCTGTGCCCGAGGCCGCTGATGGGCTTCGCCGAGCAGAGTCCGGTGCGCCTGGTGTGGCCAGACAGCGGGAGAGGGAACGGTACCGGTAGAGAGGCAAAAGGGGGGAGGAGGAGGATGAGGAGGAGGAGAAGAAGGAGGAGCAGGAACAGGAGGAGGAGGAGGAGGAGGAGGAGGAGGAGGAGGAGGAGGAGGAAGTGGAGGAGAGGAAGGAGGAGGACGAATGAGCAGGAGGGAGGAGGGATGACGGAGGAGGAGGGGAGGATAAGGACTTGAGGTAATATTTTTTTGGGCGCCTTAACCCCGCTAGTGGGTCCAGCTTCCTTGAGTCACCACCCTGTAGGGCACGGTGGCCCGCTGATAGTCTTGAAACCTTCCCTTCTCTACAAGGAGGCGGACCATTGTCCTGGCATCCACGTTGAAAGTGCAGAAGGGCACCGCCGCAAGAGTGGGAGGAGGAGGGAGAGTCAGGAGGGCAAGGTGGGAAGGGGAGGAGAGATCCAGGGGTCCAACCAGTTTTTTGGCTTCAGCCTGGAGGTATGCTCATCCAGTTTGAACGCCGGAACCCATAGCTTTGTGTGTTTTGGATTTTTTCGAAAGGCAAGCAGACGAGCTCGCTGGGAGTGCCTTGCAGTGATCCAGGCCTCTGTGCAGCCTGACCGTCGCCGATCGGTCTGATCGTCTGGTCGAGGCCCGCCGATGCCGCCCAGACTGGTCAAGGAGTGGGGACCGCAGCCTGGCCCATTCGCTGAGTGTTCGAAATCTCTGGAAATGAGGCTTCATCTTTAATTGTGAAGGCCCTGCGGCCAGCGCCGCCGATCCAGAAGGACCACGACGACGACAAAGACGACGACGACGACAACGAGAACGACGAGCTGATCACCCTGCCACAGGCGCAGGGCATGGGGCGGGCAGTGGGATGTGAGGAGGAGAAGGAGGAAGAGGAGGAGGAGGCGGAGGAGGAGGAGGAGGAGCAGGAGGATAATAATAATATTAATTATTATCCTCCTAGTAGTAGTAGTAGTAGTAGTAGTAGGAGTACTAGGAGTAGTAGGAGTAGTAGTAGTAGTAGTAGTAGTAGTAGTAGTAGTAGTAGTAGTAGTAGTAGTAGTGAAGGTAGTAGTAGTGACGGTAGTAGTAGTAGTAGTAGTAGTAGTAGTAGTAGTAGTAGTAGTAGTAGTAGTAGTAGTAGTAGTAGTAGTAGTAGTAGTAGTCGTAGTAGTAGTAGTAGTAGTAGTAGTAGTAGTAGTAGTAGTAGTAGTAGTAGTAGTAGTAGTAGTAGTAGTAGTAGTAGTAGTAGTAGTAGTAGTAGTAGTAGTCGTAGTAGTCGTAGTAGTAGTAGTCGTAGTAGTAGTAGTAGTAGTAGTAGTAGTAGTAGTAAGTAGGAGTAGTAGTACAAGTAATAAAATAGTAGTTGCAGCGGTAGGTAGTAGTAGGTAGTAGGTAGTAGATAGTAGGTAGTAGGTAGTAGGTAGTAGGTAGTAGGTAGTAGGT